TTACTTTTATTTTCCTTTCATAATTTTTGTTTGCATTTTGTCATGTTATTGTATGTTTTATATATGTTCAATAAACAAACAAACAACAAACAAACAAACAAGGCCTCATAGCGTGGGGTCTCGGCAGCAGTGTTCCTAATACCTGTCTTGCTGTGAAATGTGACCCTATACAGTATTTGGAACTGACCTTAAGGCCAAATGAAGTGGAAAGTTAAAGGCAAGCACTTCAACATCTGTGTGCTGTGTGCATGGTTTCTGAGCCAACAGACAAGTTGCCTTATGATCTGTAGAAACGTCTAACAATGGACGATTTTAACATTGACAACCACCCCTCCCCCCTTTCAAGCAATGCCTGTAGTTCACAGTTAATCATACCCCTCAGATCTTGAATTCTTTCGACCAATCCGTTCCCCAAACAAGCTGCGCCCCTACCTGACCTTTAGCCCATTCCTCCTCACCAAACCCTGTTGTGGAGTCCAGGTCGTTGTTGAAATGGCTCGACCTTTTTACCTTACACTGGGACAACTCAGGGCTTTATGCATTCATGGGGCTTGGCACACCCACCACACTAGAAAGTTCCAGAGAGTAGCTCAGTTTTTCTTCAAAGGCTCTTTCAAAGTGGACCTGCATCAGAGGTGCATTGTGTTGCCTGTTATTATCCTTCTCATTGGCTCTTTGGTATTAAAAACGTCTCAGGACTATTTCTCCGTAGACTGTATTGTTATGATCTAAGAAGATATTTGTTCATTCAGCCTTTCATGGGCTTTCATCACTGATCAGTAATTATTATTTGTACTGCATGAGCCTCTCCAGCATAGGATGGTGGAGGTGGCCTTTTTATTCAGGTCACATCGGTTTTTTTATGTGTTGTAAAAAAAGAAAGAACGGAACGGAATTGTAGACTTTGTATAGTCTGGTTTTAAACAACATGCTATAAAGTACGTAAATGATGTGGTTGTTCATGAACCGAAGCGGTTTGTGACCCGAAGCAATTTGTGTGTTTGCGGTGGCATTCGTGAATTAAGGTTCCATTGTGAAATCAATTATCAGACATTTTTGTAAGTGCAGTAAACGCAACAATCAAGATAAAAGCTTGTTTTAAAACATTTCTGATACCTCGCCCTGGCTCAGTATCAAATTTAGAATAGGTTCGTTGGAGATAGGCACTCAGAAATGAAACACAAGAGACAAATCTGCTACTAACAAATTGCACGTTTATTAGCGCCACAGAATATGTCACACAATCATTCAATAGCACAAGAGACAAATCTGCTACTAACAAATTGCACGTTTATTAGCGCCACAGAATATGTCAAACAAGCAAATATCAGTGTATCGAGCTCTTTTTTGGGAACAGTACCTAGCTCTTACCGTGCGTCAATAGGATGGAGAGCCAACACCCCAGGTAGAGCGAGCTTCAATACCACTCTGGACTTTTGACTCCGCTGACTCTGGACTCTGCTGATTCTCGACTCTCCTAATTCTCGGCTCTACTAAGAGTATCCGAAGCTCTCCTTTTATAGTCTAAGTGTGCCTGACGTCACGCTATCTTTGTTCTTAACAAATGATATTGCTCATCATCATAAACATCCTATGACATTGCTGTTTATACAAAGACTACAAAGCTATTGCGAGCCATTGCAGCACAAAGCTATTGCGAGTTATTGCGGCACAAAGCTATTGCGAAACATCTTTAAACATGGAAAAACAACACAATATAATTATTCTTACTTCAAAGCTCAAAAATAAAATTCTCTGGAGTCATGTTGTCACGATTCCACAATTTTGGCGTTCATACTATATTTCCATGTAGTACCTCGATACCGATACTACATCAAAAAATTATCTGACAGCTAAACAACTTCAAATTATTTGTGTTTTTATGAATTTATATACTTTACTAGACCAACAGTGACTCAGGGAGCAAACCTTTTTCCCCCCCAAATATAGGTACCGTACTTAAAAAGATGGTATTGAATCATGGCTGAAAATTTCAGTTCAGTATTGGCACCAGCACTTGGTGTAACACTTGCGGCTCAGTGAATTCCAAGCAGGACACCTTAAAGGCACCAGACAATGAGATGAGTTTGGGAATTCTGAAAATCTGACATGCCATCTGCTCATTTCTTCTAATCAGGCTTCATCAGTCCCACCGTCGGTCAGACGGTTGTACATTTTCTCGCATTCACTGTATTGAACAAAGATAACCTGCAAGTGCAGAGGTTCATCTGGAGGTCAAATTAGAGTGAATAAAGACGCTTCTGTCTGTCTCGCCTGATCCTTGTCTTGCTCTCGGTCCTCAGCCGTGGGACTCAACAAAGTGTGCGTTGTCTGATGGGAAATGTCCAAGGGTCAAATAGCATCAACGTTTCAGACAACACCAGCATTGTTTGGTGTTTTCTAGCTGACATCCACAACTGTGTTTTATCCTCAGTGCCCTCCATGTTGTTGGCTGCAGTCGTACTTGATGATGCTTTCACATATCCCACAAAGTTGTTCTCAAGTATCGTAAATAATGCTTAAATATAATACATTAGGTCGGAAGTTGCCACATGCTTCCAGGGTTGTGTGAAACCACTGCAGCGCTAGCAGAGGAGTTCTCTGGCTGTGGAGAGAAGTTTTTTGTGGTCTTATCATAGATCGATCAAAGCTCCTTTCTCCACTGGGCCTCAGGAAATACGAACTCTTTTGAAGTAGCTCTGAACTTTGTCTTGTGCTGGACATTAAGACTTTTCTCACTATGTCAACAAACACAAACCTCTCCCCACCCACCACCTCATTGATGAACTTTCCTGATGTGTTTCTTAGCGCTTCTAGGCCTCTCTACAAATGTTAATGAAAAACCCAGAAGTGAAAGTGTGGCTCTACATAAGTAAAAGTGCTTCACTCTTGGGACGAAATAACACATCCTTTTATTTCCCACTCTGAGATGTTATAGATCGTGTTTCATGCTATTGTGTAGAAGTCCAATCTAACTTATTAGTGGGTTACCTCTAACATATAACACGTCATGCTACTGATCCACTTCACAGTCCATGGAACCGGATGCTAGGTTTAATGGACGGGCCCAGAAACTGAATTTGTAAATCATGAGCTGGCTGATGAAATTATACTGTCTTCTGTCTCTGACGGAGCCAAGCTCAAACGAAAGTTTGCCCGGGAGCACAAGTTGCGGGAAGATTCCTGTATGTAAGTGTGATAGCATCAGACCTGCAGCGCTTCTTCATGAAGGATTGCAGTCAAAACAGAGCAGCCGAACACTCATGTTAAAACTTGCCCAAGCAGCCGCAACACAGTTGTGTGTGGCTGGCTGCACTTCTATTTCAGGATATGAAGTAGCAACCTGATGCTGCTGAGCCAAATTTAGACCGGGTGAGTCTAAGAACTGCCTTGATGATTTCCTCATAAAAACACAGCGATGGTGTCCCCAAATAGTGAGCTTTCAAACCCTTGATATTTGAATTTAACAGCTCTGGAATATAACTGCGCCTCGTTGGCCCTCCGGAAAGTAAAAGTACCGGTAGGTACGAACCTTGGAGTCCAATCATTATGAGTTACTTCTTATCCATTGCCCTTTTTTGCACGGCTGTTTTAGAAGTTGCGGACTGTTTCTTAGTGCAACGCAGGTCAAATAATAACAGTTTTCATGATGTCAGAGGTTTGACAACTGTAGGCATCCGGAAATTAGGTGGAGGAGGCAACCTTCTAATTTTATTTGCAGGAAAAATGCTGCTTACGACGTATGCTACGAGGTATTTCCAGAAACGTGCGCCATTGATTGTTGCATTTAGAAATGTATTTTAAGGATCAGTTGTGTTTGTTTTTCATAAGGAATCGTACATATGTGCTTTCAAAGTGCGCATGCAAAAATGCCATTTTTTAACAAATTAACATTGCAGTGTTGAAAAAGTCAGTTCACGCAGGATTTGAGTCATGGAAGACAACAGGAGGCAACTTCCTGTAAAGTAAATCAGTAAATCGGTTACCCCATCTCGCTGTGGATGAAAGTCTCTCTATCCACAACCACCACCTTCACCTCCCATCAGACTGCTTCATGAGGAACCATCTCCTCCCAACCAAACCGGTCTTTCTATTCTCTC